TTGGTGCAGACGACACAGGTGAGTTCCCTCCCTTCCACGTAGTGGCCAGGGGAACACGGCAAGGACCCACAGCGGGCTTCCACGGGGTAGAACAGCGCTCCGTTATGGTCCGCGTGTCCACCAGGTACGGCCTCAGGCTGTTCATCCACACAGACGTACTCTTTAGACCCGTGGTGGCCGTAGTAACCAGCCATGAGGTAGCCATGGTACTCGCGGGTCCAGCCGCTATAACAGGTGTTACGGGCGGGGATCATTAACTTACTGCCGCGGGTTGGGACGTAGCAGACCGCACACGGGACGTCGTTATCGTGAAGGGAGGTGGAGCCGAACGGAACGTTTGTATTCAACTCATACTCAGCGCCGTATATGTAAGACTTCTCCCCCTGGACTCCATCTTGGTACAGTCCCCACTGTGGGTCGGTCGGCAGACACTGGTAGTTGGTCCCGCCGCCTGACTGAGTGTAATCTGTGCCTCCCGCAACACCTGAAATCATACCAGACTTAAGAGTGCACAGACATAATCAGACCTTTGTTAAATTTGTTAATTTGGAATAACGCTTGAAAGAGTCAACATTTTGGCAGAGTCTTCATGTAAGCCATCACAAATCGCCGGCGAGCGCAGCCACGCGCACGGGGCCGTGGCGCGCCCTTGCCGTGCATTCTCAAAAGGCCGCGTTGGTAGGAGCGCTGGGGGTGCCGGGTCCGTCACCGTGCATTCCCTCAAGCTAAGTCCGCGTCGATAGGATAGGTTTCAAGTAAATGTAGTACCGCAAAAGGGTAACTCACTTTCTGAGCTGTAGTAACTGTAGTAAATGTAGTTGGATACAATTAGGCCACTCCGACTTAATTTTATGCATGACATCCTCTTAATACCCCCAAACTAGTGCGCGCGGGCGAATAAAAAAAATTCCGGCCGAAAATAAAAATGCTACAAAACCACAGGAATACTCTGTACAAAGCTGGTATCCTGAATTTGCGGCAGTATTAGACATGCTGGCTTTTTGTGGCACTGCACGTATGTACTGAGTTTTGAGTAGTGGTGCTATCCTCCTGAGCTACTACAGGCTTCGTATTGTCGCTGACTACCCAGGCCTAGAGCCTCAGAGGACGTGATCTTTTTTTTTTTTTTAGAACAGGCGAAAATTAATGCGCGCGCGGATGTCATCCATAAAATTAAGTCGGTGTGGCCTTAATGCGGGCCGTGTCACAGCCTGTGCCGTTCATTCCCGCAAGGCCGCTTCGGTAGGAGCGCTTGGGGTGACGGGTCCGACGCGGCCATGCGGGAATGTACGGTGACAGACCCGACACGCCCCGCGCTCCTACAGACGCGGCCATGCGGGAATGCATTTTAACTGGCACTGCAAGAAAGCTATGAAAATGTAGCACCACGCAAGCCATTTGTATTCAACAAAGACATCTTACCCGAGTACACCAACTCTGCTCCGCCGTTATCAGCGCAAGTCTTCCTCCCCCATCGGATGTACACACTTCCTCCTGAAGAATTAATGATCAAGAGGCGGCATGTGAAGTAATGTAACTATAACCATCTAATGATAAATATATATATACTTAAAAGTTTATATGTGGATCGGACCTAGGAAAGCAAAATATGAAAGTATGCAGAATATCTTTGATTGACAAAGATGAAAAAGTTGTCACCTGCGCCTGGCGCCCCGTCTCTTCCCGGCGGTCCTGTGTCTCCCTTGTCCCCGGGTGGACCCTGCCATGGTGAGGATATACATGGAAGAATATGTCAGTATAACAGGATGCTGAGTGATATGCATGTTTCTACATACGTTTCTGGTTACTACAATGTCTACATATAATGGTAACAAACATTAGTATAAACAACGGGTATCTGCAAACCTGCAAGCCCACAGGTCCTGCTGGTCCAGCCACACCTTGAACGCCATCCCGTCCGTCCCGCCCGTGCTGTCCGTCCGTCCCGGGCTGTCCGTCTGTCCCGGGCTGTCCGGCTAGTCCATCCCGACCGTCTCGCCCAGGAGGACCTTGAGCGCAGCCTGACAGAAAACGCATGTTCAGTTTTTGAAGGACAGACCAATCTCACTGCAAGCACAGTCAGCCCCTGTGTTTAATGTTGCATTAATTGAATAGACTCTTGAGGAATGTAAAAAAAAAACGTTACATTGAGCTTTTATTGAACATGCATGGATGGTATTTTTGGCAATCAATTGTTCGTAAACAGATTTGGGGTTAAACTCAAGGGTCAATACTCACGGTCGAACAGCCCGGAAGAGCCGATAGCTTGTCTCTTGACTCGCACAGCCTCATCCTGACTCGTACTGACGACATCCGCACCCAAACCTGCACCTTCCTGTTATGAACATTCTGTTGTTTTAATGAATGAATGAATGAATGAATGAATGAATGAATGAATGAAGACCTTTATTGTACAAACATACCCACTGGGTTAGGTACAAAGGTTAACTTGAATACACAAATATATACACAAGATCAATCTAGTACTAGCACTAGTCTGTTACATAATTTCGACTTCTTTTCGCTTCTCTGTGATGTTGAAAAGATAAGAACATACAAGTTTGAGGATCGAGGGTTTGTCTAAGTTCATTAAAAATGTGAATAATGACGGGGGCGTGTTGGGGGTTAAGCGCTATAGTGTATATACACAGTATAATCTGTTCTTCTTTATCTATTCGTCTTAAGGTGCAAGAGAGGCACTTACAAAGACAGATTTAGCTTGGATGTCGCTGGGAAAAGAGAGAAAGACAAGAGATGTTGTGCACCACCACCACCCCCGTCAGCACGCTGATCCCGCACACCAGGGCGGCCAGGACGCCCACCAGCGGCCCGACCAACACGGGGAGACGGTCCCGGCGGGTCGGTCCACCGGACAGGAACGGACTCTTCTCTGCAGTCATTCTTGTTTAGTCGGCCGTTTACTTTAACTCAGTATTTTTAAGAAAGTCTCAGAGCAAGCACGCTGTCAAGGAAGTAATAGCTTGCGAGAAAAACCTGCGCGTAACATGCTCTATTTTTAGGCATTGAACGTTTCTTCTTACTTGTCCCTCATTGTTTCAGGGTCGTTAACTTCCAAGTTGAAAGGAATAGCATTCTCATTTGTTGAAAAAACAAAGTCCCATTGACATGGCTGGATTGAGAGCATATCGTTTTCTCCTAAGCTAAAGTTCTTTGGCCTGGGGGGGGGTGCTTGCAGAGATCCATAATATCAATCTCTCTACCTCAGTTTCTTACATATTCTTTAAAGTTCTGCTATGTACTGTACACACGCTAGCAAAAAGTCTAGGACTGTGCTCTGTTTGTTTGATTGTTAGTTTATTTCGCATAACCAGTAAACCGCCTTTAGGCGTAACACACCAGTTTTGTACGTACAAACTGCGTAAGACCTGACTGACATTATTGATATTACTATACATCTGAACCACCCAAACAATACACAGTTGAAGTTGACTATGTCGTCAACCACTGGAACTAAAGACGTCAAAAGACACACAAAGATACCAACAGCTGGAGGGGAATTGACTGTTACATGTAGTCACGATTTATTTCAGCTTGAAGCCATCTCAAATCAGGCAAAGCAATAAACTATTATTGTATGCAGGACTGAGACTTGATTTCACTACAAGTAGCTTATGGTGTGCTTTTAGCCAACTCACAGCAAATAAAGAAGTCATATGAGTCTTCGATTAACATCCGCGAAACTTAGGAGAATATGATATTGTGGTTACCATACCATTGAATCACACAACATTTCGTCTGGGCTATTTCTAAAGCTTTCGCAAAGTACATGTAGTAACTGCTGCCCCTCACTAAACAGAAATAACAATTGTTCTGGTGATGGATAAAGCGAATATACAAATACACCACAAATCTCAACCACACAGAATTTGATATTCCTCTTAGGACTTGTTAACACTGCCCTCATATTACATGAAAATCGTCACATCAAACTTTGAAATCTTAACTTTAGAGGCAAACACGAACTAACCACATCGAAAAAAATCAATGTCAGCCTAAATTTGACACAATGGAAATCTTTACTCTCCAAGCAGAGGTTGGTCGGAAAGATTATTACCTTTGTAATATGCCCCTTTTTTTTCTGTCACTACTTAAACCCATTAGTGGGGGTAGCAAGAAAACGGGTCAGAAAAAGGGGCATATTAGAATGGTAACAATATTTACGGATGTGTCATTAATGGTCTACTTGGTGCAGACGACACAGGTGAGTTCCCTCCCTTCCACGTAGCGGGGACACGGCAGGGACCCACAGCGGGCTTCCACGGGGTAGAACAGCGCTCCGTTATGGTCCGCGTGTCCGCCCGGTACGGCCTCAGGCTGTTCATCCACACAGACGTACTCTTTAGACCCGGGGTGGTTGTAGTAACTAGCCATGAGGTAGCCATGGTACTCGCGGGTCCAGCCGCTATAACAGGTGTTACGGGCGGGGATCATTAACTTACTGCCGCGGGTTGGGACGTAGCAGGCAGCACACGGGACGTCGTTATCGTGAAGGGAGGTGGAGCCGAACGGAACGTTTGTGTTCAACTCGTACTCAGCGCCGTATATGTAAGACTTCTCCCCCTGGACTCCATCTTGGTACCGTCGACCCCACTGTGGGTCGGTCGGCAGACACTGGTAGTTGGTCCCGCCGCCGGGGTGGTTGTGATATGTGCCTCCTGCCACACCTGAATGGAGATACTCAGAAATGTCAAGCGATCGCGCGCGAAAACAATGAAACAATCATCAATATCATCATATTATACTATTTACAAGAATACATAGAAATGTGTACCTCCTGCCACAACTGAAATCAAACAAAGTTTCCGCACTACAGACATAGACCTCTTGTAAATTATGTTCGTAGAATTTGAACAACACTCAAAAGGGTAAACATTTGAACAGGCGCTGCTAAGAAAATGTAGCACCACGCAAGCCGTTTGTATTCAACAAAGACATCTTACCCGAGTACACCAACTCTGCTCCGCCGTTATCAGCGCAAGTCTTCCTCCCCCATCGGATGTACACACTTCCTCCTGAAGAAAGTATATCAAAAAGAAGACGTGTATAACAGGAAAAATCAAAAACTATATCTACATCAACGTGGAACGTAGCTGCCAGGCAGATTAAAGTACTACGTATATATTTGATTGACAAAGATGAAAAAGTTGTTACCTGCGCCTGTCGCCCCGTCTCTTCCCGGCGGTCCTGTGTCTCCCTTGTCCCCGGGTGGACCCTGCCATGGTGAGGATATACGTATACATGGAAACCATGTCAGGACAAGAGGATGATGAGCGATATACATGTTTCCACTGATCTTGGCGTTTCTGGTAACTTACAAATATATACATAATGATAACGACCATTTAGCGATAAACAAACAAAAAAAAAAACAAGAGTTCCGAAATCTCATACCTCCATGAAATATGGGCTTGCTTTGTCCTCATTAATTATGCAAATAACCTCTACATTAACATAATATATGCAGATCGATGCAAACCTTTATGAAACTTGCACATGTCACGAGGTATAAAATTCCCATCATTCACCAATAAGGATTCACAGAATTTTCACATTAATTATGCAAATTAGGTCATCATTTGCATAATTGGTATCTGTTGATGTTCCGCCTGCCACAGATTAAATAGATTACATGTATAGCAGTACCATTACATGAAGCACTGTAATTATAGAATTTCCTCATTAATCATGCAAATTCAGTCCTCATTTGCATAATTTGTGCAACTTTTATTTTAAAATTTAATCATGTGCAACTGTCTCTCAGGTACCTACACACCAAAAATGATGAAAGTACGTTGTTCCAATCTGGACTTATTGGCTTTGAAAGTTTTTACCAGAAACTAACCTGCAGTTCCAGAACAAGCTGCTGGGGGGGGGGGCAGCCACTTATTCCTGACAGGACAAGCTATCTGTCACCAAAAAGTCAAGACATAGCTTGTTCAGGACAAAAGATACAAAAACCGGAAGTTCTGCTGCAGTACCAAGGTCATCCACCAGGAGGCCCAGACTTGACCTTGACCTTTGTCTTTCTAAGACGAACCATCATACCAAATATCATCACAATCCATAAAGGCGTTTTGAAATTATGCTGACTACTAAGTTGCGGAAACACACACAGACACACAGACAGACACACACACACAGACATACAGACAGACACGCCAAAAACAATACCTCCATTTCTCATGGAGGTAACAACGATTTGCAAACCTGCAAGCCCACAGGTCCTGCTGGTCCAGCCACACCTTGAATGCCATCCCGTCCGTCCCGCCCGGGTTGTCCCGCCGTTCCGGGCTGTCCGTCCGTCCCGGGTTGTCCGTCCGTCCCGGGCTGTCCGTCCTGTCCGGGCTGTCCGGCTGGTCCATCCCGTCCGTCTCGCCCAGGCTGACCTTGAGCGCAGCCTAGGAGGAAACGCATGTTCAATTTTTCATCATATCCGTGAAGGATACAAGAACAGCCAGCCGATTGAATAGACTGACTCTCGAGGAATGTAAAAAAAAACGTCGCATTGAGCTATTATTGAACATGCATGGATGGTATTTTTGGGTTAAACTCAAGGGTTAATACTCACGGTCGAACAGCCCAGAGGAGGCGATAGCTTGTCTCTTGACTCGCACCGCGTCATCCTGACTCGTACTGACGACCTCCGCACCCAAACCTCCACCTTCCTGTTATGAACATTCTGTTGTTTCAATGGCGGGGGCGGGTTGGGGGTTAAGCGCTATAGTGTATATACACAGTATAATCTGTTCTTCTTTATCTATTCGTCTTAAGGTGCAAGAGAGGCACTTACAAAGACAGATTTAGCTTGGATGTCGCTGGGAAAGGAGAGAAAGACAAGAGATACAGGTAATAATGTAACGTGAAATTAACGTTAGATTTGAAAGAAAAAAACATACAAGATTTCCCAGGCTGAAACATATAAGTATAGAAACACACCGCCGATTCGTCGACAGTCCGCGGTCGGTCGTGCCCAGCAAGGGTACCGGCATCCAGCAGGTTCTCCACCGCCACCAGCCGCTCCCTCAGTCCGGTGTTCTCGGTCTGCAGGACTGATAACTCCCGCTGCACACCTGTCAGCTCCTGCTTCACACCTGTCAGCTCCTGCTTCACACCTGTCAGCTCCTGCTGCATGTTGTGCACCACCACCACCCCCGTCAGCACGCTGATCCGGGGGCCGGCCCGCACACCAGGGCGGCCAGGACGCCGACCAGCGGCCCGACCAACACGGAGAGACGGTTCCGGCGGTTCGGTCCACCGGACAGGAACGGACTCTGCTTCTCCGCTGTCATTCTTGTTTAGTCGGCCGTTTACTTTAACTCAGTTTTTTTAAAGAAAGTCTCAGAGCAAGCACGCTGAATTTCAAACTGTCAAGGAAGTAAAAGCTTGCGGGAAAAACCTGCGCGTAACATGCTCTATTTTTAGGCATTGGGCGTTTCTATTCAGTACTTGTCCCTCATTGGTTCAGGGTCTTTAACGTCCTGTATATTGATATGTTTACAACCTCAAGACAAGTTGAAAGGAACAGCATTCTCATTTGTTTAAAAAACAAAGTCTCATTGACATGGCTTGATTGGCAGCATATCGTCTTCTCTTAAGCTAAAGTTCAGTGCTCGTGTGTGTGTGGGGGCCCCCCCGTGTACACTATATGACATCCAGTAGATTTCTAGCGGGAACCAATCATAGGGCTGCTGACAGGTCACCGACTAGCGGCTATTATCACCTTGTTTCATGTAAATGCCATGAACTCAACCAGAGCGCGTATATTGTTTCTTGTTTACATCAGTACTAAGTACTAGTACTTCCACAATCAGTTAGTAAAGTCATACCTTAGTAAAATCTACTTTGATGAACGAATAAAAACGGGACTGTAGACATTAAGTTTTACACATTCAAATGCGGCTGCACTAGCGCTACCACTACGTACGGGAAGGAACGGATCTTAGCGAAGCCGAGATTTGTGAACCAAACCCAACCCATCGAAGACGGGCCGCCAAACATAAAAATGGAGGGAAATGACAGACAACAAGCCAACAAAGACAACATCACCAGACCAACAAACTTGGAAAACACCACAGCAACTTCAAGCGCTAACGTTGTAAGAACTGTGGAACCACAAACTAGTATGTTTGCGTCAGCGGAAAGGCTGTCGAAGTAACCACTACATGAAAAACTGCGGCGAAAAAGTAACATGGGTTCGTCCCAAATCTAGACGCAAGTGAGCTACAAAAGTAATAGAACCTATGCATCTTGCTTGTTGCTGTCAACTTACCCGTTAAAGATTGAACCGATACATGTACGTACTATAACTTGCCATACCCGGCCAAAGACGACTACATTACTGTTACTCTTCATTTTGTGCTGTATAATGTATATGCGTTACATTATCTATCATTGTCATTTCTGTAAATTCCTTAAAACATCTACTGTTAGTTTGCGTAACATTACGTAGTGCTACAATCTGCGTAAAAAGTGGGCTTCATTACGTGTTATCTGCTAAGTCGTGTTGGTATTGAAAACTGTTTTATTGTGCCGTTCTTCTACAAACAGCCAGCAGAATTATGAAGATACTAGTACTCGTTCTCAATACACATGCTGCAAACTAAAGTAATGGCAGTCCTACGAAAATTCTGTTTGTAATGTATAAGCGCTTTATGTCGACGTACAATGGGTGTGAAATACATGTTTTCGCCCATCGTGTGCCACCGGCTCGGTGGTAATTGGCTACTTTACAAGTGAAAGAACCGCGTCCGTGGGCCTTGATAAATTATTCAGCAGCCCTCTGATTGGTCCCCGCTAGACATTTACTGGATGTCATTCAGTGACGAGGGGGGGGGGGGGTAGGAATCCATGTGGTCTTAACGCCACAACTCAGTTCCACTCCAGAATTACAATACATCTTTCTCTTCTCTTTCACACACACACACACACACATACACACACACACAAACACTCACACAAACACACACACTGTGACACACCACACACACACACNGTTACTCTTCATTTTGTGCTGTATAATGTATATGCGTTACATTATCTATCATTGTCATTTCTGTAAATTCCTTAAAACATCTACTGTTAGTTTGCGTAACATTTACGTAGTGCTACAATCTGCGTAAAAAGTGGGCTTCATTACGTGTTATCTGCTAAGTCGTGTTGGTATTGAAAAACTGTTTTATTGTGCCGTTCTTCTACAAACAGCCAGCAGAATTATGAAGATACTAGTACTCGTTCTCAATACACATGCTGCAAACTAAAGTAATGGCAGTCCTACGAAAATTCTGTTTGTAATGTATAAGCGCTTTATGTCGACGTACAATGGGTGTGAAATACATGTTTTCGCCCATCGTGTGCCCACCGGCTCGGTGGTAATTGGCTACTTTACAAGTGAAAGAACCGCGTCCGTGGGGCCTTGATAAATTATTCAGCAGCCCTCTGATTGGTCCCCGCTAGACATTTACTGGATGTCATTCAGTGGCGAGGGGGGGGGGGGGTAGGAATCCATGTGGTCTTAACGCCACAACTCAGTTCCACTCCAGAATTACAATACATCTTTCTCTTCTCTTTCACACACACACACACACACAACACACACACACAAACACTCACACAAACACACACACTGTGACACACCACACACACACACACAAACACAAACACACACACACCACACATACATACACACACACAAACACACACACAGCTAGTGTGTTACGCCGAAGGGCGGTTATGTCGGCTATAAAGATACGGATGCAAACACACAAAAAAATGGTAACCTTTCAAAATTTACCAATACATGCCCTAGATACTACATGTAGACAATGAGAAACGTTCGATCATAATTCACACAGCTGGTAGTTGTTTATTTAGAAAACCAAAACAACACACAGTTGAAGTTGGCTATATCGTCATCCAATGGAACTGAAAACGTCACAAAATACACATAGATACCAACTTCTGAAGGGGGTTGACGTTTATAGTAGTCAAGCTTTATCTCAACTTGAAGCCATGTCAAATCAGGCAAAGCAACAAACTATTATGATATGCAGCATTTAATAAACTTCATTTTACTTTAAACTAAATGGCTTATTAGGCATGATATACATCATAAATCATACGAAATCGCAAAGAAGTTCTGAGCATTCTGCACAACTTCAAAGAATATTACATTGCGGTTACAATACAATGAAAATTGATTTACACGCACTTGGGCACTTGTAGCCAAACCATAAAAGTAGAAAAGTGATAGCAGAATGGTGAGAATGGATGTGTCATTAAAGGTCTACTTGGTGCAGACGACACAGGTGAGTTCCCTTCCTTCAACGTATTGGGGACACGGCAGGGACCCACAGCGGGCTTCCACGGGGTAGAACAGCGCCTCGTGACGGGTTGCGTGTCCGCCCGGTAGGGTCTCAAGTTGTTCATCCACACAGACGTACTCTTTAGACCCGTGGTGGCCGTAGTAACCAGCCATGAGGTAACCATGGTACTCGCGGGTCCAGCCGCTATAACAGGTGTTACGGGCGGGGATCATTAACTTACTGCCGCGGGTTGGGACGTAGCAGACCGCACACGGGACGTCGTGGTTGTCGAATGAGGAGTCAAACGGAGCGTTTGTGTTCAAGTCGTACTCAGCGCCGTACATGTAAGCCTTCCACCCCTGGACTCCATCTTGGTACCGTCCCCACTGTGGGTCGGTCGGCAGACACTGGTAGTTGGTCCCGCCGCCTGACTGAGTGTAATGTGTGCCTCCCGCAACACCTGAAATCATACAAGGTTTCCCGGTCTTAAAGTCCACAGACATATTCAAAACCTTTATCAAATTGCCAAAGAAAGCCACGAAAATGTAGCACCACACAAGCCGTTTGTATTCAACAAAGACATCTTACCCGAGTACACCAACTCTGCTCCGCCGTTATCAGCACAAGTCTTCCTCCCCCATCGGATGTACACACTTCCTCCTGAAGAAAGTATATCAAAAAGAAGACGTACATTACAGGAAAAATCAAATACTATATCTACATAAACGTGGATTGTAACCAGGCAGATTGGTTGATTAAAATGTTAAAGTATTTAAGTACTACGTATATATTTGATTGACAAAGATGAAAAAGTTGTTACCTGCGCCTGGCTCCCCGTCTCTTCCCGGCAGTCCTGTGTCTCCCTTGTCCCCGGCTGGACCCTGCCATGGTGATCAATAAAGTACAATCTTGTCAGTATCTTACACACATAAAGACCTTTTTTGCTATTATTAATATGGTATACATCTAACGTTAACTTGAAACCAGGATAAGTTTCGTACCTGTAAGCCGACCGGTCCGGTTGGCCCTGCCGAGCCTGGGACTCCGTCCCTTCCGTCCCGCCCGGCTACCCCGTCCCTTCCCGCGGGACCAGGGGGTCCCTGCTGGCAAACTGCGATGTACAACCAAAGTTGTGAGTTGAGACCGTATCATTGAGAATTTTATTTGAGATCTTTTGATTAGGCCGAGAATATCTTGATAAACATGAAAATGAACTTGAATTTCCATCATCATTTTCACTACGGCCAGTTGTTATGTTCTATTATTTTAAAGTGTATTTACCAGTCATACACACGAGCAGAGTATTTGTACAGATGTACTAGTAAGAGCAAGATATCCATACACTCACGTCCACCCAACACCGGCCCGTCTCTCTTCACTCGCGCGGAACCATGGTCTCCGTCGTCTGGCGTCATCATACCGTCATTCTGTTTAAAACGGCAAACGACAGCAATGTACTGACTGCTCGTTAAATTGCCAATCAAGATAGTTAAGTGTTAGACTAGGGACAAATAAAAGCACGCGTGTTACACAATGCAAAGAGCGGACATTAAGTTACATACAATTGAATGGGGCTAGACTAGTACAACAACAGTCACGGTTGAGTGTATTACGCCCCCATTCAAATAGGACGGCTTTCATGACGCTTTCTCTGCGACCTGAAATTGGCCTGAGCGCGAAGAGAGCGCAGAAAGATCGCCAGGATCGCCATGGGAGCGTGCTGAGAGCGCCATAATCGCCGTCACCTCGGCGACTGTTTTGAACCAGCTCATACCATCGCCGTTAGAGCGCCGATGATGGCGATCCAACAATGAGCACAGAGTAAATTTTACAAATGACGATATCTGGTACGGGGGATAATGTTGAAAGGTTAGGCGTACTCGCCTGAGACAGATCGTCGGCCACCTCCCCGCCGGTAAAGCCATGGAAGCTCTCTAGAACAGCCAGACGTTCTCTAGCAGCGGTCAGCTCCCGCTTCACACCTGTCAACTCCTGCTGCATGTTGTGCACCACCACCACCCCCGTCAGCACGCTGATCCCGCACACCAGGGCGGCCAGGACGCCGACCAGCGGCCCGACCAACACGGGGAGACGGTCCCGGCGGGTCGGTCTACCGGACAGGAACGGACTCTGCTTCTCGGGAGTCATGTTTTCTCGCTTTTTAGGCTATCAAAACTTTATCCACGACTGTTGAACGTTTACCAAGTCGCTCCGAGTTCTGAATGCTCGCAGTTGTAGACTCACAAGGAACTAAAATGTCGAGAAAAACAACGCGAACCAAGTTTTATTTCAGGACTTCTTACGTATTATGCTTGGTTCTCATTGGTTCAGTGTTTTTACTTCCTGTAAGTTGATATGGCATGTTTACAGGCTTTACTCAACCGTTGTACAAAAATTCCTAGAAGAAAACGTCGCTGGGAAAAATGTTTTTCCGCTGACGTCATCATCACACATTCTCATTGGTCAGAATGTGATTGATAGCTGACCTCGAACCCTTTCTACGAAGAAAGGTGACTTTAGGCTAACATGATTGTTGCGCAACCTGTGTGTCTTTAAAGGTCAACGCTCTAGCGGATTCACAGAAGTCGCTGTGGAAAAAACACTACAACTTACAGATAGAAAAAATACAAAGGCTCACAAATCAATAATAAACGGGGTATAGTGTGTGTATTTCTTTAATATTTTTCATTCAGAAAATATACAAAAGTACACGTCAGACTTTGAGGTAAACCTAGAGCTTTCTCCTGAAGTCTCAGAATGTGGCAGTAATTAGTAGATACGAAACAAGACAGACAGATGAACACTTGCAAGCGCAGACCTCTACCGGTAAATACTGATTTATTTATGCATGCATCAATGGTTGCAGCAGATAGTATATGTCCAACAGAACACAGCAACATGGTATTTGACATTCCTCATTTAGTAAATACAAAGGTGTACTTTTTATTTGCATCGATGTCAAAATCTCTCTCATAGTATCCTCTATCCGCGTTTAGACCAAGTACAAGTGAGCTAAATTCGATTATTCTTCCCCCATCACTGAAAATCATAAAGCAGTGATTATACAAAAATAATTCCAATCCTTTCCCAAAAGGGAGAAAATTTTATCAGTCACAGTCAATAAGTGTATTTTGTCTAGCAAGGACGGGCTGTCCAAATCAAATAATGTCAATACCTCATTTCTAGGAACGACAAGAGTGACACTAATTCACAGAATTCATTAATGAAATAAAGACCTTTATTGTACAAAAATACCCACCACGTTACGTACAATAATAATGGTCTACTTTGTGCAGACGACACAGGTGAGTTCCCTCCCTTCCACGTAGTGGCCATGGGAACACTGCAGGGACCCACAGCGGGCTTCCACGGGGTAGAGCGTCGCTCCGTCATGGTTTTCCTGTCCGTCCGGTACAGCCTCAGGCTGTTCATCCACACAGACGTACTCTTTATTACTGTTGTGGTTGTAGTATTCAGTCATGAGGTAACCATGGTACTCGCGGGTCCAGCCGCTATAACAGGTGTTACGGGCGGGGATCATTAACTTACTGCCGCGGGTTGGGACGTAGCAGACCGCACACGGGACGTTGTCATCTTGAGCCGAAGCCGAGCCGGAGCCGAACGGGACGTTTGTGTTCAACTGGTACTCAGCGCCGTACATGTAAGCCTTGTTCCCTTGGACTCCATCTTGGTACCGTCCCCACTGTGGGTCGGTCGGCAGACACTGGTAGTTGGTCCCGCCGCCTGTGTTGTCGAACCATTCACCTCCAGCCACACCTGAATAGATGTACTCAAAAATTTCAAGCGAAAACGATGAAACAAGTCATCAACATCATCATATACTGTTAACAAGAATACACTGAAACGTATGCCTCCTGCCACACCTGAAATCAAATAATGTTTCCCACACTACAGACATAGACCATCTGTCAATAATGTTCATGGAACACTCAAAAGAGTTAACATTTGAACTGGCGCTGTGATGCAGCTAAGAAAAGGTAGCACCACGCAAGCCGTTTGTATTCAACAAAGACATCTTACCCGAGTACACCAACTCTGCTCCGCCGTTATCAGCGCAAGTCTTCCTCCCCCATCGGATGTACACACTTCCTCCTGAAGACATTAATGATAAAGAAGCAACATGTGAATTCAATGTAACAATAACCATTTAATATCAAAATTATGTATTTAAACTTTTATATGTGTATCGGACCTAGGAATGAAAAATGTGAAAGTATGAAGAATATATTCGATTGACAAGGATGAAAAGTTGTTACCTGCGCCTGGCGCCCCGTCTCTTCCCGGCGGTCCTGTGTCTCCCTTGTCCCCGGGTGGACCCTGCCATGGTGAGGATATACGAGTACATGGAAAACCATGTCAGGACAACAGGGTGATGAGTGACGCCTCTGGTCACAAAATGTATATATATGTATAATGACAACAGAAAATGTGGTGATAAACACGATCTGCAAACCTGCAAGCCCACAGGTCCCGCTGGTCCAGCCACACCTTGAATGCCATCCCGTCCGTCCCGCCCAGGCTGTCCAGCTGGTCCATCTCTACCATCTCTACCAGCACAGCCTGGGAGAAAGCAGATGTTCACTTTCTCATATCATGAAATTCCAAGGGCAGACCAAACTCACGGCTGTACTCACTGAATAGATTGAGTCAGAAGGGAAGTTAACAAAAACGTCACATTAACTCTGATTGCTGAACTAGAACACGAGTTGAAAGGAAACATTGTCATTGTGTTACTTTTTCTCCTGGATTAATTCACGCATTATGCCCCTAACATGCATGCATGGTATTTTGGTGATCAGTTTTAGCAGCTTTACTTAATACTCACGGTCGAACAGCCCAGAAGAGCTGGTAGCTTGTCTCTTGACTCGCACCGCGTCATCCTGGCTCGTACTGACAACCTCCGCACCCAAACCTCCACCTTCCTGTTGTCAACATTCTGTTGTTTTAATGGCGGGGGAAACTATAGCCTTGTATATGCACACTATAATCTGTTACTCTTTATCTATTCGTCTTAAAGTACAAGAGAGGCTCTTAAGAAAAGAGATTTCGCTTGGATGTCGCTGAGAAAGAAAATTAACGTTAAATTTGAAGAAACACATAAGTATAGAAACACACCTCTGACTCGTCAACAGTCCGCGGTCGGTCGTGCCCAGCAAGAGTACCGGCATCCAGCAGGTTCTCCACCGCCACCAGCCTCTCCCTCAGTCCGGTGTTCTCGGTCTGCAGGACTGATAACTCCCGCTTCACACCTGTCAGCTCCTGCTTCACTCCTGTCAGCTCCTGCTTCACACCTGTCAGCTCCTGCTGCATGTTGTGCACCACCTCCACCCCCGTCAGCACGCTGATCCCGCACACCAGGGCGGCCAGGACGCCGACCAGCGGCCCGACCAACACGGGGAGACGGTCCAGGCGGGTCGGTCCACCGGACAGGAACGGACTCTGCTTCTCGGGAGTCATGTTTTCTCGCTTTTTAGGCTATCAAAACTATATCCACGACTGTTGAACGGTTACCAAGTCGCTCTGAGTTCTGAATGCTCGCAGTTGTAGACTCACAAGGAACTAAAATGTCGAGAAAAACAACACGAACCAAGTTTTATTTCAGGACTTCTTACGTATCATGCTTGGGTCTCATTGGTTCAGTGTTTTTACTTCCTGTAAGTTGATACGGCATGTTTACAGGCTTTACTACGGAGGGCCAAGTGTCGCAAAATTACATATATATAAAGACTACTAATTCCTCATATATAAGGATAGATTTTGCACTCACGTATGTATCCAGCTTGACACACACATGTATACACGGTCGCACAAACACATGTATGTCCAACTTTACACACACACACACACATAGTGGATAGGACACACTCGTGTATATCTTTCGTTTTATACATACACATATCATGTTAGGACACACTCATATATGTCTCTCTTATACATACACATATATATAGATGGTAGAACACACTCATGAATGTTTCAGCTTTAGGACAGACCAAGAAGCTTTCATGTCATTGGATACAACTCTTAACAGCTTAACACAGACGAAGATATAATTTTTCAAAGTACATACATAGCTCTTACTAGTCTTACTCTTAGGATCGCACTTGTAAAGAGGAAGTGTCAGCTTGGGCCCCCTGTTTTGTTTTGTTTCAAGGGAATTGTAGAGTTTGAAGAATCGTCCTGACTTTTTGTATACGTTGATAGCACGGTGTTGATAGCCTTAGTGACGGTTGACATAATTTGTAATTTTTCGTGGTAACTTTTCATCTGTATATATACATCGCTAATCACTAAAACGTTGCTCGCTACCCTAGATATTTTCACTGACGCTCGCACTGCCACTACTATTGCCTCCTTCAAAAGGAAGCTATCGAACTCTCTTGGTGTGTGACCCTGACCTCTCCACGTTGATGTATTGTATTATTGTAATTTACGTGTAAATGTTTGTCTTGTCAGCAGGACAAGCCCTTAATAATAGCCGTCTGGCTAGTTGGGCTGCCTTGGCTGTGCAAATGGTCTTCTTACAGCCAAACTAATAAATAGGATTAAAATAAAACTAGAGGTCGGAGATCTCATGTCTTCGTCAGAGGGACATTGTTCTAGATAAAGGAACGTTTTTTAATACTAGAAATCAATTTGGTCTAGAGTACAAAAGAATCTCTGTACTCCTTTTTTCCTTTTTTTATTCTACGACAGTGTCGCAAAATGTAATGAGAAGATGTGATGAAAAGAAAGAATCAGAACAGGGGAGATTTATTGCTGTTTTCGTTTGTTGTTACACTATGTTCTTTTATTCAATTTGCATCCTAACCTTTGTATTTCCACAGTTAGTATGTTCCAAATCTGTGCACGTTAATCAGGTTTTTCTGGCCTTCATGTATTTTTATCGCGCTTTTGCAATAAATCTAAGGTCTCCAGTGGACGT